ATTGTGCATGGCTTTCTGTCATAAACCCCTAGCATTAAGGCTAAAGTGGGCCATGAGTTAAGTCGCAGAACTTAGATGGGGTCTTAAGTAAAATGGAATTGCTTAGGTTTTTCACTTGGGCACTGTCCCTCAGCTCTTCACCTCAAGGCGAGTGCTCTACCACTTAAGCCACAGTGTCACTTCCAGCTTTCTGATGTTTTATTGGAGATAAGAATCTCACGGAGTTTCCTGCCCTGGCTGGCTTTGAACTGAGCTCCTCATATCTCACCCACCTGAGTAGCTAGGATTACAGACCTGAGCCACAGGCCTGACTTAGAAAATCTTTTAACTAAAGGTCCTCTCTAAAACAATCCTTTCAGAGTTTGGTAACACACCCTAACTTGTTGACCTTCCTTAGAGTTTAAACTTAAACTCATCCATTTTTTATATCATGCTGACAGTTTTTTTTAATCTCCAACATGTTTACATATATATACACAGGTGCACAACACACATACCCTCTTATGCACAGAGATCTTAAAGCACACAGTTTTGGTACTTCAGGAGACATATTCTAAACATTTACACAATTATACAATATTTAAATAAAATCATTTGTTTTACACAAAAGAAATACCCTAACACAGTAGAGTCTTACAATGCTTTGACAAACAGCAATTGGATGCTTTAGAGTTATTTTAATGTACTGGTAACACATTTTCAATCAGGCAAGTTTATATGTGTCTTCATATTGAATTCCTTCAACTCTGTCCTTTTCCAGGCCCCGTTTCGATGGTCACAGTAGCTAAGAAAGTCTTTTCATTGATGGATTCCAGAGTGGGGTCATTGCCTTTGTAGCCGCCATTTAAAACTAGAATTCTTTTTCCTGGTGTGAGAATTAGTCTCTAAATGAGTCTGGTCAAGTTTCACTCATCTCCAGAGTCCATCTTTACAACAGCTGGGGACTTGTCAATTATTTCCTTAACAAATGCAGCTCTGGCTTGACTGGCTGCACTGGTTTTCCACCCTTTTCTCTCTCCAGGGAGTCTCTTTTCAGCAAGTTTCTCATATTCATCTTTGTCCCACTTTCGGTGGAAGTCCAAGTTTGTTGCCCCGCTGCTAGATGCCATCTTCACACAAAACTCCAAGATGATGCTTTTTTTAAAAAACTGGTTACCAATTTTAATGCAATCAGGTGTTCACACAATAAAACTTTATACACATTTGCAAACAAAACAACAAATACCACCTTACAACTTTTCTAGGAGTTATAGAAAGTAGAGAGCATACCCATGTGGAGATTTTTTTCAGTTGGAAGTAAAGATTAGTATTTTGGTCTTTTC